AGTTTATCTAGGATCACAGGCTTGGTTTGGAGTTTTCTCCGAAGTCCTCTAAAAGAGTCCCTTTAAAACTGTCCTTTTAGGACTGGCTGCCTTTACATCCCCATGAGCTTCTGAAGACCAGGAGGGAAACCTCTCCCTACCCCATGTCCCTTTTGCCACATCATGCCACTGAACCAGGGCTGCTGTCAAATGCAAGCAGGTGGAGGAGGCTCCCACCGACAGAGGTGAGGCTTCTGAAGGTTGGGTCAGTCAGCGATCTCCCAGTTAGAATCATCAGACCAGAGACTCCATCTTTCTGAAAGGTTCACCTTCCTTTCCTTGACTGGTGGGCAGTTGCTCAGAGCTGGAGAATGAGGGGCAGGCAAGAAAGAAGGGCTTGGTATTCACAGCCCAATGCCTTCATATTTAGCTGAAACCAATTTTGTTTCTTAGTTTTGTTTCTCTTGTTTCTCTGAGACAGTCTGAGGGTTTTCCAACTGCAAACCATACACTCACTGGCTCATTCAGCATATATTTATTGAGCCCCTATTATGTGCTAAGCATTTGTATAGGGTCTGAACACCCAGCAATAAGCAAGGGACCCCTGCCCACACTGCACTTCCATTCTGGTGTATACAAGGCAAAGGGAGGGGAAACAGTAAACATATGTGGTTACAAAGGGTAGAGGCATCCTGGCTAGTCATGGCAATGGTTGCTAGGGGATGATGTAAGCCAAACCTCAAACAGCTAACATTGACAGCCTGATAGAAGGCACTTAGGAGTTACTCAGAGCCATTCTCTTGGGAAAATTGTCACTTGGAAAAAGCCACTGAAAATGTATGGCATGTATGAGTCACAAAGAAAGAGGAAGCTGGGAAGGCAGAGGGCAAATATGGCCACTAGCCAGAGCACATGAAGCAGCTCCTGAAGGGTAATGGGAGGGGACAAGCCAAGATGAAGCCTGCTCTGAACCTTTGCCCAGGTCAGAACCAGTAATGAAGTTAAGAGCACAGTTCCCAAAGGTAGTTCCAAGGAGTATCATCCAAAGGGATGCTTTGTGGGAAAAGGGGAAGTAGGTGATCAGATTTAGCAGTGGTGCCTGCCTGGTCTATCCCTGTGTTGAAGATTCCCAAGGTATAATAAAGGCTCTGAAGTCCTGCAACAAAAATCCCAGTATTTCTGACTCCTATGACCAAAATCCCTCCTAACATCTACCATCACACAGAGCTCTGCTGAGCATTCTAGATACTGTCTTAGAACAACAGATGATCACAGTGACACAAGATGGGGACTTCTTAGGCCCAGAGATGACAGGACCTAGGTTAGGGTGGTAGAGACACGGCTGGTGGGGATGGGTGGGGGCTATCGTTCTGTGTCCTCTGAACATGGCTAATGAACAGTGGTGGGTTTTACAGATCATGCTTTTGACAGGAAAAGCTTGGGCAGAAAAGCTGGTTCAGTGCCTCTGTGTTCTGTCTACCTTCAGGAGAGAGGAGAGGCAAACTCCAACACCCTGCCCAGATGCTGCATCCACCTGGAGGCAGCTTGCCCACTCCTGAATGACCCATCTGGCAAACTCACAGGTGCCAAGGGAAGACAAATGTCATAGTCCTCCTGGGAAATGGGCAATCAGTTTTGCCAGTAGAGTAGAAAGTAATTTTTCAACAGTCTCCTATTTGTATTAACATTGTGATTTTTAAAAACATCATATTTTATTTTATTTTATTTCATTAAACAATCTACCAAGGCCTATTTGGCACCAATGGAAAGACAAGCCTGGTTTAGTTAAGTCACTTCACATGGTAATAAAGCCTGGTCTGGAACCCCAGTGTCTTAAGACTTTCTCCAGTGATTTTCCCACTGCTCAAGAAGAGAAGGCCCTGTAGCCCCTGTTGGTGTAATCATTTAACAAATACTGAGCACCTACCGTGAACAAGCTAACCTGTGTTCTAGGCATGGGGACACAGCAATGGATAAAACAAAATATCTGCCCTCATGGAGCTTGCCTCTAGAGGGCAGGATAGATGATACTCAAATGAATGCACATCAGTGGAATATAACAGGGCTTATAAGTACTTCAGGAAGAAATAAATCACGGTAATGAATTAGAGAAAGACAAGGAGCATTTCTGAGGAAGGTGTTTTTGAGTAAGGACCTAAAACAAGTGGGTCATGGGACATGCAGCAATCAAGGGAAGAGAGATCAAGAGAAGAAATGACAGGTTCAAAGGCCTTGAGATAGCAATGTGTTGGCAAGTATGAGGAGCAGTCCCCAGGCCAACCTGGACAAGAGAGGGGGAAGAAATGAGGTTATGGGAACAGGCAAGGAGAGATCACATAGGACTTTTGGAGAGGGTTTTTATTTTACTGCCTTTGTGAGGGAAGTAACAGGATCTAAATTATATTTTTGACTCATTAATCTGTGCACCATTTCACAGCTGTGAGTCATGTAGACTTTTTGTTTCATCCAGGAGCTGACCTGGGGTCTCTGTGTGTGGAAGTGGGGTGGTGGGAACAGGCGGTTGTGAGTTTAGACACACAGTTCTTGGAGAGTGGCACACTGCAGTCAGAGGCAAGAGAAGAGGACCTTGCCTGATCATCGGGTCTCCCCAAGCCTTTCCAGGTGGTCCTTGAGAATAAGGTGGGCATGGGCAGGAAATCATTTCTCCCTCGTAGGAGGTTTGTAAGTGAGGCATCATGAACAAGGGGCATACTAGAGCCTCTGGGACTCTATGGGACTCAGGAGTGCACCCCACAGAGGGGGCTCAGATGCTGCTGCCCCTCCCAGCCAGCCTTGATCAGTGTCAGCTCCTTGTTCTTGCTGCCTCCAAACCTTGGCCTGCTGTTTCTTCTCGTGAAAACGTCAGCGTGGCGATTTCCCAGCATTCTCAGAGAGAAGGGCTGGGAGAACAGCCTGGCCTACCAAGTAATGACAGCAGACTTTACTTATCTCCTGCTGCGGCCAGGCAGACACTAAATGTCCCAGCTGCAGAGACTCTCACATGCTTCCCAACAACTTCACACTCCCACTATTATGACTGCCATTTTGCTAAGAGAGTGTAAATAATTTACCCAAAACCACACAGCAAGTGTGACTCAAAGCCAGGTTCTTGAAGTAGCCCTTTCAAGTCTCCATGCCTGTCTTTGTGGCCTTTTTGCCCCGCTCCTTTACCCTTTATGCACATGCAGCCTGTCACAGTGGGCAGTGTTTTCACACGGGCTGCACACCACTCTTCCTTGTTCCAGAGTTTCCTCCTTTAAATGCCAGTAGCCTTTGTCCGTCTGCCCTCTTAGAGAATGTACACATCCGTGTCCCTCCCTACCCCTCACCAGTACTTCACAGAGAGCAGACTCTTCATGAATGTTTGAGGATTTAAAGTGTTGAGATTCTGGGGCCAGACTGCTTGAGTTCAGACTGCCACTTATGAACTATGTGACCTTGGGTAAATTACATAACTTCTTGGTGCCTGGGTTTTCTCATCTGTAATTCTTTGTAGGACTAAATGAATTAATCCTTTGTACATGTTAAACACTACAGAAAGAGTTCTTACATAAATTTTTATTCATTCTATATTTCTCTTCCCCTTTCCCTCATGGCCTTCCTTTTAATAATAATTGTGCACATTTTTATAATATTAAATATGCCAGGCCCCTCTGTCAAGCACTTTCCAGGCCTTAACTCTGGGCTTGATCTGTCTCACACACTCACACTCGAGTAAGGCCCAGGTCTTTTTAGGGTTCACAGTTACCTGGTAGGGAGGATTGTAGGGTGTGACCTGGGAGGCCATCTCTCACAGAAGCAGCGATTAGTGGTCCTGGATGGATGTTGGCCTGGCTTTGGGCTCTGAACATCTAAAAGGGTTACAGATCCTCAGGTACAGAAAAAGGGCCATAAAAGTGGCCAGATGGTGAGCAGGACATTTCCATTTCAATAAGTTTATTTATCAGATAATCCACATGTGCCATGAAACCAAGATTCATCAAGTGCACCACCTCCAAGAGATGCAAAGGCTTTGGAGGAACCCTTTTAACATGCACCTAAATACAAGTACATAGTGTTTGCTGGGCCGCTACCCTCCACACAGATGAGCTACCAGAAGAGGCAGGAAGCAGAGGCAGGCTCTTTTTCTTCATGTCCCGGCATGTATTTGTTTGAGGGTAGACATCATTTCCTAAGTCAGGAGACATTTGAAATGTACCTTCCTGGGGTGCAAAGAGGGAGGGCAGTGAGAGGAGGAGCTGCCGGCAACACTGCCTTTCTTGATGTGGCAGCAGCTTTTATGAATGTGTGCAATTCGTGAGCAGAACACATAAACTGGGTGTGCTTTTCTATTAGTATATTATACTTCAATAAAGTCTTAAAAAGTGTATATTCTTGATTATTATTGTGTTTGTGTTAGGGAAACAATGGGCAACCCAAAAGTCCGTAAGATAAATTATATGATATTTGAATGATGGAAAGCCATTACAAATAGAGACATAAGGAACTAATATGGAAAGATGTTATGGTATAATACAAAGGGAAAAAAGGAAGTTATGGAGCAGATAGCATGATCTTATAACTGAAAAGAACAATGAACAGTGCCAACAGCTAATTGGCCAATTTAACCTACAATTTCATGTGGTTCATCAAATACACATACACAGTATATTATGATACATATGACATATGTAACTATACAGGAAATATAACCTGCCAACATGTACTTGAGCTGTTACATGGAGGAGAGTAGATTTTCAGTTTCTCTGCTACATAGTTCTGTCCCTGTTTTGAATTTAATTTTTTATAATGAGCTTGTATCACTTTAGTAATGAGAAAAAATTGATAAGGACATAATTTATTTAGAAAAAACAAACAAACAAATAGTCACCCCTGAGTGTTGCAGAAGGGGTGGCTCTGGTCAGCGAATCAAGAGTAGACAGGCATGACGCTAAGATGTCTTCCAACCTGGAAATTCTAAGTTTGCACTGGAAGTGCCTGAGCCTTAGTGAAGTTCAGTGCAGCTCTTGGATCAAACATACCTGCAAAATTTTGGAGTAACTGATCACAATGAGCAGCCCCGGGACCAGGAAGTTCAGGGTAACAAAAGACACATCCCATGAGATTTCTCCAGCGACGCTGGGCCAAACCAGGGTGCAAATCAGGATTTCCTAGTTAGAGAAAAGAAAAGAACTTTGTTAGATGCTGGCTGCATCTTTGGCCTACAGCTCAGTTCTAGCTGGCGGTCACCTGGCACTGCTATGCTGTTGTACTGCACAAATGGTGTGAATCCCCCACCCCTGCCCGCCACAGCCCCCTTACAGAGCATGTGCCTCTGACCCTCTGAGGAGCCATAATTACTGTTCCCATTCTCCAGAGGACGCACTGACCCTCAGAGCCACAGGCTGGAAAGAGCTAGAGGCTGTTCCCAGGGGTGGGCCTTTCCACTTCCCCAGGGTGAGATTAAGTGAGATAAATTGGACACACATGTTTGAGTATCACATAGTTTCTCTTGTGTGGAAAAACCAAAAGCACAAATAAAGATCAAAATGGAGGATAGATATGGGGAAGTAGGAGAAAATGTTCAAATGGGAAGGGGAATAAGGAAGAGGGGAGGGGAAAGAGAAAGAAGGGAAAAGGAAAAAAGAGAATAGAAAGGGAAAAAATGGAAATGAAGCTTTTGTAAATGGGAAGGGAAGAAGGGTTGGAGGGAGGGAAGGGGAATGGTGAAAAAAAAGAAGGATCAAGATATACTATGTACAGGTACAATTCCCTATGATGAATGTGATCATTATCTATATTTAAAAAAACCCAATAAAATTTTTTTTTAAAAAAAGAGAAAATTGACCCAAGAAAGGTTGCACAGGTTGGAGGTGATGTGCTACACACAAGCATATAGCAACAGGATCAAGGTTTTTGTACAGTCATACAGTACTTTGTATGCAACAGGGTCTGTGCTAAAGCATTAAATGTCTATTTGGGAAGAGAAGGCATTCAAGTGTCTAAAATGTGTCAAAACCAGGCACAGTGGAATGCACCTGTATTTCCAGCTACTTGGGAGCCTGAAGCAGGAAGATCACCTGAGCCCAGGAGTTTGGGGACAGCCTCAGCAATGTAGCAAGACTCCCTTTCAAAAAAACAAAGAAAACAAATGACAACAACAAACCTAAAACAAATCAAGTGTGTCAAGCTGCATCAAAGAACCTGACAATCTCTTGCTCCATGCTGGTCTGGTGCCTAGACCTGGGGCCTTTGACCTTGTGTATCTTTTTCCCAGAGGAACCCAGAAGAACCGCAAAGCAAAAAATCAGCCCCAGCTCTCAGCTCCAGATGAAAACCCCTGGAATATGGCAGAAGAACGTGAAGGTTTGTAGCCTTACAGCAGCACTACTCTGTGTTGATTTAAATGTTTAACACGAACTACAGAACTGCAATACCAGGTGGGGGCCTTCTTGGACAGTTACCAAGAGCTGCTGCAACAATTTCTTCCAGCAAATAAATATGTCAAAGAAAACAAACATACGTATCTCCCTTTGTGTGACTGTTTTTCCCCACACACCAAACTTCCTGTATGCACTTGACTATAGGAACAAAGCTATTTGGAAAATAAGCTGTCCTGAATATTTCTAGATATGTAGAACAGATTTTTAAGAGCATATGCAAGTAAAAAGACCACATTATTGTGGGGTACTGTGGTGTACAACTGTAATCCTAGCTACTGGGGAAGTTGAGATAGGAGAATCATAAATTCGAGGCCAGCTTAGGAAACTTAGAAAGACCTTGTCTCAAAACAAAATTTAAAAAGGGAAGGATATAGTACAGTTCTCCCTAGCTCCAATCTCTAGTACCACAAAGCAAAAAAAAGAACACATTATTGATTTTTGGTGGGCAGTGCAGCTAAACAAATGCCATAACACCTTCATCCATTCATTCTTTTGACCAATATTATACATACCAGGCAGAAGCAAAGAAATTTTAACATTTACCAACCTATATCATAATTAGTTGTTCAAGCTTAAAATGCAATCAACTAGTTATTCATCTTCCTAAATAGTATTAACAGTAAATAACAGCATCTAATATGCATGAAACATTTACTATGCACTAGGAATTGCTTTGCACATATTATGTCATTAATGCTCACAATAAATCTATTGAAATGCACATTATTACTTTTCCCATTTCACAGAGGAGGAAACTAAGGTTTAAATTCCTGGATCAACAGTCTAACATACTAAAAGTGTGTTTTGTTTTTTTTAAAGTGTGGTTTTTAATCACAATATTTTCCCCAACATTGTCCCTTTGCAGTTACAAAGGACTTCAGGGACCTAGCAAAGCTCATCCCAAAGTAAGACAAATGGAAAAGAATATTTGGATCACATATGTATTTTAAAAAGGGAAATGAGAATGTTGCTTTCATTTCTTGTTTGTTAATAAGTTGCAAACAAACTAGGCTTGCTTGCTTATTTACTTATTTAAGTAGAGACACTCCTTGTTTAACAACCAAATTATGTTCCTGCAACTAGGTCATTATATCAATTGGTCCCTAAATGAGGAATGGTATACAGTATGTACATGACAACATTCAGAACAAAGAAATAGTCAAAGGAAACTCCAACTTGATGATTTTGCTTTTATTTGCATAAGTCCTCCATGTAGTACTGTAATATATAGCAGAACATAAAATTTCAGTACTGTACTATACAGTACAATCAGCAAGATGTACTGGACAAAAATAAAGACACTGAAGGTCTATAAACAAGATGTACAGAACTGTACCAAAAAAAGACAGGTTTTAAGTCTGAGCAGCAGGTTGTAAGTCCAAACAGCACACCTCAGTTGTAAGCCCAAACAGGCGTTAAACAGGTAGGTTGTTAAACAAGAAATATCTGTAATGGGGATTGGACTCAGGGCCTCTGCACTGAGCTACATCCCCAGCCCTTTCTATTTTCTTATTTTGAGACAGGTTCTTACTAAGTTACTAAGTTGTCCGGGCTGAGCTTGAACTTGTGATCCTCTGTCTCAGCCTCCCAGAGCACTGGGATTATAGGAGTATACCTAGATGTTCTAAAAATTTGTTCCTCTGCCCTCACCATCCACACCTGACCAGAGAAGGCTTATTACATTTTTCTACATTTTGGTGTTTGGAAAGAAGCTTGTGTCTCTTGAGGATCTTTTGAATACTGGCAGCAAGTTCACTGCTGCTCTTTAGGCAATCCACACAGCCTCCACTGTGGGCCAGACCTCTGCCCACCACAGACACTTCATATCAGCACACTGAGAGCAACAGATGTGGACAGAAGTGCTGAAGCACTCATCAGAAGAAAGGGTTCCAGTCTTAAATGTGACTTAGTCTCTAATTCCTACACTAGTAATGGAAAAAATATGTATAGGGAGAATAAAAAACATTGACCTCAAAGCTATTTCTTAAAACTCCTTAGGGACTTCAGGTCTTTCTAAAACCCTTCTCCAGGGTATCTGCCAGGCTGAATAAGACTGTAGAAAACTGTGTAGTGATAGAGTACAGCAAGATGTTATCTCTACATTTGGGGAAAAAAAAAAATCAGGTCCCTAAGCTATGTCTGTATGAAAGCTGATAGAATCAAACTAGAGTTGCTTATGTCAACCCCAACAAAAATACATAAATAAATAAAACTGAGAGATTATGAAGGAGGGCACCTTCTGCATATCTTCTATATGCTTGATAAGAAGAACGATTGCAAAGATTCTGCCAGAACCACAACCTTGCACAAAGGCCACCACAATATTACACAAAAGTATTTCTGAGAGGATGTTGGCCCAGCAACTGTCTAATCTTGGCTGATGCCATGCTTGTTATGGCTTCTTGTAGCCAAAGATTATTATTTCAAAATAATTTATGCAATCCTCCTCATTTTGCCTATAAAAACTTCCATTTGCCTCAACTTCCATAACCACATAGTTTAACATGGCACACATGTTCCCATTGCAAAGTCCATTCCCAAAGAATCCCAGCATGTCAAAAATATGTGTATGTGTGAAGGAATATGCATACACACAGAAAAAGACTGGAAGGTTTCACTAGAGAAAGCTAAAGGTATTTGCTTGTGAGAAGGGCTCTATTCTTTCATCTTCTCTGAATTTTCTAAATTTTCAATGGCATTCCTATATTTTTTATAAAAGAAAAACAGAGTGATAAAAGTTTGCTTTTAGGAAAATGATTGAACACATAACTCAGATCACCATGATAGTTGAATATACCTAACTAGATATTTTCAATATAGACATGGCACCTGTCCCAAGAAACTTCCCAAATTCCATTAAAGAAGATGCTCTCTCCTTTTTATTTGTGGCTCCCACTCCAGACAGGCCGTGTTATAAGGAAATAAGATAAAAACTCTGAACAGGCCCCATCAGGAGCTAAGAGGCAGTAAGTCTGGCCTGGGTGGCCCAAGTGATGGCTTGATTTGCTCTTTAAAGGGCATTATGTAGTATTGGTGATTAAATGCAGTGTCTGTACTCATTAGAAAAAAACAAAACAAAACAGGCCCTATGACCACAGTTAGAGAGGTGAGTTAGTATCACACTTATATTTCTGTGGGAGAAAGTCCATCTGTCAAGTCATTCTTTTTCTAGGTATTCTACAGGTTCTGATTTGTCGAGAAGCTGGGCAGCATGTCAAATCCAAAAGGTAGGAGTCGTAGTGGTATTATATTCTCTGTATTTGCTCTGCACATTTGAAACGTTTCCTGATTTTTAAAAAGTAAATTTGTAAAACAAAAGTGCTAGGCCTGCCTGGTTACTGAAATACTGAAGTGGAACTGGCAGTGTCAACAAGTGTTTTTTAATTCTTTGGCTTCATCACTGTTGACTCCAGGCACAGTGGCTCTACCACTGTGAGGCCAGTGTGCATGAGCAAGGCTCTGGCCTGCTCTCCAGAGGCCACAGGGCAGTTGCTTAGGAATGCTGCATCCAGAAGGAAGGGCGGCTTCAGCCAGGGGACAGAAGGCAGAGTTCTGGGGTTAGGAACAAAGGGATGAAGGTGGAAGCTAGGCCCAGTGAAGGACTAAGTGTGACTTTCATCTGCCCCATCCCAATCTCTGCCTCTCCCTTGCCAGCTCATCCAGCTCATTTTCAAGGCTTCCTTTAGCAGAAGATTCTTCCACCTGCTTTTTAACTTCCTAGTGCTCTC